CTGCCCGGGCTGCCCCCCCCAGCCTGCCTGCAGAGCTGCCCGCTGCTGTGCTCAGGCCCGTTCCTTCCCGCGGAGCAAAGCTGCTCGTAGCCACGCTTGCTCTTTCTCCCCCAGCATCAACCCCTTCCCGCTTGCTGGACATCTCCAACTCCTTGAAAGCAAATGTGGACAGACCCTGGCCCCACTCCACCTCCTCCGTCCCGTCCCTGTCCTAAGAGTCCCTGCGCTGCGGCAGCTCCGCAGGAAACAGGCGACTCCCGGGGAGCTAGGGCAGGATCAGGAATTGGAATCATGTACTGCCTCGACAGACGCACGGAGTCACCATCACTCCCAGCACACAACAAGCAGCCCGGCATTAAAACCAACCAACACACACACACGAGAAATTTCTGAGACATTGAAATAAAAACCCAGACCAGTAACTCTTAAAAACCGGAACTCTCTGTACCAAAGACATTCCTTTTTCCTTTTGTTAACTGCTTTGTTTTAGCTATTTCCAGACAGGAATAGATCAATTCTTTATAAAACGCAATAGAAAGGTGTAAAAATAAAGGCAAAAGCTATTTACAGAAACCAACGGGCAGAGTACCGAAACGCCTCTAGACTTCTTATTTCTTCTTGGGTGATTTCCGGGCGCTGGACTTGGCTTTGGGTTTCGACCGCTTTGCCTTCTTGGGCTTGGATGCCTTCAGCGACTTGGCCTTAACAGTCTTTGGCTTCTTGGCTTTCTTCGGGCTGGCCCTCGACTTCTTCCTGGCTTTCCCAGCGGCGGCTTTGGGCTTCTTTGCCGGCGACTTGGCTTTCCGTGGCCTAGCTGCTTTCCGGGGCGACGTGGATTTCCTGGCCACCGTCTTCCTCTTCCTGGCCGGGGACTTCTTCGCCTTGTCGGCCTTGGCCAGGCGGAAAGAGCCGGAGGCGCCGACCCCTTTGGTCTGCTTGAGGACGCCGGTGGCGAGCAGGCGCCGAATGGAGAGCTTGATTTGGGCGTCGGCGTGCTGGCCCACCTTGTAGTGGCTCTTCACGTACTTCTGGATGGACTGGCGGGAAGACCCGCTGCGGCTCTTCTCAGCC